TTTGTCCACATGTAGTCTATGGATGGAATAGGCTAAAAAATAGATAAGATTACACAGTTTTATATGCACTGATGTACTGGTTAGGTATATATTGTATTGAAGCTAGATATTTGTATAGGTAAAATTTGTATCTGTTAAAGTAATTTTCACTAATATACCTACACATATATTACATATAATTTTAAAACAATAAAGGACCTGTTGATCCATCTAGGCTGTCCCATCCACTAAACTAAACTCTCAAATAAAATAAAATACTCAAAGTCAACCCTAATCATTCAAATATTTATCAAGCTTTCCATTAAACTCCCTTAAATTAACTGCATCTACAATATCTGAAGGCAACCCATTCTAAAGGACAACCACCCTGTTAGAGAAATTAAGCTGTCTTAGCTGATTATGACTCCTACTCTACCAAAATTTATATTTCTGTCTCCTAGTAATACTATTCTCACCATTAAATATACCAAATGATGACACATCAACAATATTAATTCCCTTAATAATCTTAAACACCTCATTCAGATCCCCTCTAACTCTTCTTTTTTAAGAGAAAGGAGTTTCAGAAATCTTAATCTATCCTTGTATGGCAATCTTTCTATCACATGTATCATCCTTGTAGCTCTCCTCTAAACTATTTCCAACAATTTAATGTCTTTAACCAAAACTAAACACAGTATTTCAAATGTTGCCTAACCATTCACCTATACAATAAATTATAACCTCTTTAGATTCATATTCAGTATTTCTGTAGTTACAACCTAAAGTATTATTTGCCCTACAACTAGCAACAGTACATTGTTTGGATGACTTAAGAGACTGATCAAACAGAAAACCAGAATCCTTTTCTTTTATAACATTGTTAAGGTTATTCCCATCAATATTTTACTCTTAATTCAAATTGTGATATCCCACATGTATTACCTTGCATTTATTATAATTAAAAGCCATCTGCCATTTATTTGCCAAACTCACCAAATAATCCAAATACTTTTATAAAGCAGCATCCCTCTCCTCACAGCCAGCAACACCCAATATTTTACTATTATCAGTAAATTGAAATAATTTTTTGTCCATTTGTTTGTCTATGTCACTGATGAAAGTAAAAAAGAGCAAATATCCTAACACTGAGGTTCTTCACTTGTAACATGAATCCAGCTTGAATTTACTACATTTATAACAACCTTCTATTTTCTTCCATCCAGCCAATTTTTCATCCAATGAGCCACCGTATCCCTCACACTAACAGATATAACTTTTGTAATAAGCCTTTTGTAGCAACCTTGTCAAATGCTTTCTGAAAATCCAGGTACACTAATCCACACTTGTACCCTCATCTACATAAGCAGTAACCTCTTCAAAGAATTTCAAAAGATTTAATAAGCCAAGATTTTCCTATAAAGAAACCATCCAATAAATATTATACTTTGTTAAATGACACTGCAAAGCATCTTTTATCAGATTTTCAAAAACTTTTCCCACCACTGATATAAAACCAATAGGCCCCTAATTACTGGGACAATTTTTATCATCTCCCTTGAAAAGAAAAGTAACATTAGGCAATTCTCAATCTCCTGGCATCTGTGCAATATTCAAAGGCTTACAAAAAATAGTACCACGTGGCTCACATTCAAGCTTAATCTCCTTCAAAACCCTCAGGTAGATATTATCTGGCCCAGGAGTCTTATCGTTCTGTATACCACCTATTTTTTTCTTAACAAGCCCAGAATTAGTATGATAATCTTGTTCATTATTTTTCTCCATCTAGTAACTATACAAGATGAGGAATATTGCTTAAATTTTTGTTTGTAAAAATTGAAATGAAAAGTACAATTTAAGAACCCAGCCTTTCCATTATTATCAGATAATAGTCTTCTTGTATTATCCCTCAAAGTTCCCACTCCTATCCTAACATTTTGACTACCTTTAATGAATTTAAAAAAATTCTTGCCATTAATTTTTACATTTTCATCCAACTTTTTTTTCAGAGTTTTTGATTTCCTAACTCTCTTGATTTTCTACAATCCTTCAAATCTCTTATCATTGCAGTCAATTTAAGCTTCTTATATTTATAATGCTTTTCTTTGATTTTATCTTTTATACCCTTTGTAAGCCAATCTAGTTTTGTAATTGTGGCCACCTTTTTTTTTTGTGCCTATCTTGAATATTGAAGAATTTATTTTTAAAATTGTTTTACATTAGAGCAGTATCTCCACTTGCTTCAGTCACCCAATTCACTGCAGATAATTCTTGTCTCATCCCTTCAAAATTTGTTTTTTTTAGATTTGGAAATTTGCATCCACATGTTCCTCAATCTCTTCCCTCTCAGTTGTATTGCATCTAAGTCCAAAAATGCTTATAAATCATAAACATGATAAACGTTTAGACATTATGAAAAAAAACCTTTTGCAAACCTGTTCTAGTTGAAAATGCAGCATTCGATATAATTATAAAAACAATGAAAAGTAAGACCTAAAAATACAAATATACTTACAAGAAAGAAAGAAAAAATTACTCAACAATGCATTATACCTGTATGCATATTAAGCTTA